ACTAGACTTATAATAAGGAACCCCCAGAAAAGTATTCTTAATTATTTTGGCCCCTACATCATGTTTCTCAGTCGGAGCACCCTTGGACAGCACAAGGCCACGCGTAGCACAAGAAAGCCTTCTAAAGCAATACATGTGCCTGGCGCAGTCGAGTTTCGCCTTCAGTAGCTGCTCCCGGCTGCCCTGGCGATAGAGGCGATCCGTACGGAGTCCTCTTAGACAGTCGCCTTGTAGGAACCCTTATAACCCTCTGATAGTACTTATTTTGCCATAACAGCAATTAAGACCCCTAGTGCTGACGTGCATAGTGTAATGATACAGGGCAGAAAGCGCTTTATCAAAACGACTCTTTGCCGACACGCTGGGGAAGTCTTACTCCCGCTGATGGTACATGCAGCATTGCAGCCAAAGGAGGCTTTACATGGGTTTAGGGTTCAGGGATGTGTGCAAAACTGTTCCGTACCTGTGCAACAGTTGGGCAACTACTGAACTGTGTCCTCTCAGTCATCCTGTAGCTTGGCATGGCGCCGAAGCGTGAAGCCGGCTGAATAGTACATGGCACAGCGAGTTTGGGTTGAATCTGCTGAGTCCATCTTCTGAGATCATGCTCGCACGTCTGGGTCCTCTAGCTATGATCTAGGAGAGCGCACCATGGCACTGACTGCTATTTCTGCTGTGCTCTTTTGTTCGATCTTCCTTTTGGTGTCTACATTGTACTGCGCGGTCTTGCGAAAGCATACTCGGGCAAATCACTGCTTCACTACATGCTGTCCTGCCTTGGAGGTCTTACGCCGCACTTTCACCGCGCCATCGTTGGGCTTCGGTGTGCTCTCGGCACGTTGGCAGAGTGCCTCCAAGGGTGAGTTGTCCCCTAAACCCTAAACCCCCGAACCCTAAATCTCCACCCTGCAACCCCTGAACCCCAAACTCTAAACCCTAGCGTTTGGGCAGCTTCACTTCGTTTGCATAACATGGCTGCAGTGTAATCTTGGAACTCTAGTATGAGGGTACTGTAAGGCTTACAGACTGGGTTGGTATAGGTTACTAAGAGCTAACTACGATACGGGTGACTATATGTTTTTGAGGGACCTCCAATGCCACAGAGCTGAGCTCAACCCTGATCTTCTCTCAGCACTTCATCTCTATCTTGAAAAAAACTACCAAAATAACACACGAAGACGAAGGAACGTCTAACAGCCACTTCTGAAGACTAGAGGATCCCCTAAACCCGAAAGCCCTCTGGAAGCCCCCTTCTCTCAGTTTATCTTAATAAGAAGATTCTCACCCTGGGTCCTCCGTGGACGCCAGGAGCTCCTCGAAGCGAGCCTCGCGGAGGCTTAGCAAAGAAAGCCTTAGGGCCTTAGGGTTAAGGAAAATCGAGGCTTGGAGGCTCAAGACTCAGGGTTTAGAAGCTTTTTCGGATTTGGGCATGCGCATCTGCCGGCAGCCGAAGCCTACGGGCGTTTTTGCAGACTGCTTTGGAGTTGCTTCGGCGTTGCCCGGGGGGAGGTATATTATGGTGTGTATATATATATATATATATATGTATACATATTTATTTATTTGTTTATATATTTATTTATGTATTTATTATTGCGGGGCAAGGCTTCTATACTGCAAGTCCATCCGATATCGTGGGGCAACAAGGACTCTTTGTCACTTGATACATCCCCGACGACACCATGACTAGTTACAGTCAAGCTTACTGTAGGGGTTACCATCAACCTTTAGAAGGGGGGTTCATGTACGGGCTACTATAGGGATTACGATACGGGACGAGAACCTCGGTTGCATCGCTGAAGCGCTGCAGCTCCACCTGGACATCGCGCCTGAGCACGGCACGGGCTGCTTGTTCGTGCGGTGATGCCGAAGCGTGCTCACAGTCGCAGAAGTTAGCGCTCGACTGTTGAAAGTTGATTGTTTCGTGAAGTTCAGTGCAATGTCAAATTATGATTGGTGATATCACGGACAGCAAAAACTCGATCGCTATTCGTAACACCATGCACATTGCAACATTCCGTCTCGAACCAGACCGACATCTAAACTGCTGACTGACCAGAACATTAAGGTCGTCCGTGATTCCAGGTCTCAAGCATGTCGGGCCCGCCGCGAGCACATCTAACCGAGCAATAATCGATCCAAAGATGCATCCATAATATTCTCATATTAGGCTGGCTACTATCTGGATACCATAAGGATATTACTATAAGGTTATTACTATAAGGTTATTAGCTCCTATGTTGATGCCCGATCCTGGAAACCCTGAGCTCGACCCCGAAGATCAGCTCCTAAACCCCTACACTCAACTTCACACTCAACACCCCAAACTCGAGCGCCCACTCATCAATGCCCCCGAGGTAGCTAGCCAAGAAGTGAAACCAAACCAGGCGAAATTGAGAATGAATAAACTATAAAGGGGCAAAACCTAAACCCCGAAACTAAACCCAACCCGTCGAAGCTGATTTTGTCCTGCCCGGTGGCTGCAGCTCGGAAAGCTCGTAGATCTCCGCGCCGGGCATCGGAGAACCCGAGGGGCGAACCCTGGATTCAGTCAGAGATGCAGGGTTTCCAGAAGGGTTTTTCAAAGGTTTAAGGTCTGAGTCTAGGGTTTCGGAAAAGAGGGCTGCTAGAAGAGCGCAGGGCTGCGGGACTTTGGGTTTCTGGACAGCTTCTAATGGCGTCGGGGTGGTCATAACCACGGTTCGATCATGCATGCTCTGTGGGAACGGATATGGCCTTTGCGGACCTACCTGAGAAATGGTAAGTTTGTGATTAAAAAAAAAAGATGCAAGGCTAGAACAAGAGCTATGAGGCGCCAGGACCGGGCTGCCTAGCTCCCAGGCCCTAAATATGCAGAGAGTTTCGAAGAAGAAGAGTTAACTGCGAAAACCCATAAGTACTCTATGACCCTACACACGGAACCCTAAACGTTTAGCCCTTGGGAACCCAAGACAAGGAAGTTAGCAGTGAGTGGCTTCGTGCGTGGGCACATAGTGCTCAAGGCATTCAATGCCCGGTGCACTCAAAAATTAAGCTACACTGATTTAGGGCTTGGGGTTTAGAGTTTAGGATGAGGGTCTAGGGCTTAGGGGCCCAGCAGACACGTCAGGACCCGTAGAGGCCCTAAAGTAAGCCCGATTGTCTTCGCAAGTTGGCTTGAACTTTCTTTTCTATCTTCACCTCTCCTTGAAGAAGGCGTGTATTAATATTCAAAATAATGACGAATAGTGTTTCAAATACTGTGTCCAATCCAAGTTTTATGATATTTATAAGAAGGACCACCCTGATCGAATGTATCATTATAACAATTTAAAGGAAAGTGACACTTTAACAATCTGGGAGGGTATTAACTTCCCAGCTTCTAATGATGATATAGATCACTTTGAGGAGATCAACCAGACCAGCATTTCAGAAAATGCTCAGAAGATAAACCCAGATGCTGATAAAATAAAAGTTCATAGGTCCAAGGGGCTCGGAAGAGCCATCCATGACCTCGAAAACCCGTCTATTGGGCCAATGTGCCGAAGAAGGCTGGAGCTTCTGGTTGCGGCTTGAGGTTTAAGGTCTCTAAGGTGCTGTCGACTGCAGAGTCATGTGTGCAAGAAGAAACCCCTCTTTTGCATCCCTGTACGACCTCCCGGCTGCATTCCTAAAATTCGAAGCACATAACGGCTCCCGGGATCGTAACGACACGTATCGACCGGCATCTAGGCGAACTTCCGGAATTCGGAAACGGAAACACCCCGAGCTGCTGGATCCCCTGCTACGTGTGCTCGCACGCACGGAGAGAAAGAGAGAGAGGACAGAGGGAGAGAGGGAGAGTTGGAGAGACAGAGGGTATGTATGTATGTATGTATGTATGTATGTATGTATGTATGCATGTATGTATAGAGCATGGCATGCAAGGCCATCAATTGCTTCATGTCTCTGTGTTTGCAGCATTGAGCAGGGCTCCTCTCCCAAGCTCCACTACCCCTCTCTACCCAAGATCACCCTTCAATGGGCCCTACAAGAACCCTGGTTGCCCGACTTCATTGAAGTTCGGCCGGAGGAGCGAGGAGTGATAGGGCGGCAAATTCGCAGAGCCAGGCGTCTGCCACGCGGGGCTCTGCGCAGAGAGCCTGCGATGCCAGCTGAGCGCTTGGTTTGTCTGTCTGTCCGTCTGTCCCTGTGTCTGTCTCCGCATCGCGGCTGAGTGCGGAGCTGTGTTGTCGGGAACTCCAACCTCCGAAAAACCCTGAATCCAGTCGTCTACTCGCCCCAAGCCCGAACATCTGGCAAACAAGCTCGGCCCGTGTGGAAGATGTGCCAGTGATTCCCCCAGGAGAAGTCCACTTGTCTGCGACAAGCATAGACTGTGCACAACTCCCTCTCGCTCTCACTCTTTCTTTATTTCTTTCTGTATTTCTCTCTCTCTCTCTCTCTCTCTCTTTCTCTCTCTGCATTACCTCTTCCCTCGCTCTCTCTCCCTCCTCTCCGCTCTCTCTCTCTCTCTCTCTCTCTTCTCTCCCCCTCCTCTCTGTGTCCATGGTCTTTCTGTCGTAAGGTTGATGAACTATCCAAGATACCTGTCTCCTCGTCTCTGCCTTCCCCTTCCCCTACACCAGTGCACCAGGATTCCTACATGCATACATGGATCGGACTCGAGAGACAAGGAATCCTGTCCATGCGTACTTCCGCGAACATACATCTACTACGTATAGCTATACCTCTGCACTATGTACTTGCAGATGTATCGACTTGTTTAGGTTTGCACGGATGCGTCTCTGCCGTCTACATGCTCTTGATAGACATGTTCACATCTTGACACATGGTGCATGATCTAGCTCACACACACACACACAGCTACAAGCAGTGAGCTAGCTGGCTAGATAGATAGCTAGTGAGCTCGTTAGCTAGTTAGCTACGTCGCGACCTCGTTCGTTAATTAGTGAGTTAATTAGTTAGGCAGTTGTTAGTCAGTCAGTCAATTAGTTAGGGAGGGAGACAGATAGCCAGCTAGATACTCAGTGAGTTAGCCAGCTCCTTTGTTTGTTAGGCTGATCTAGGTAATTATGATTTGATGAGTTGGGAGGCATCAGATTCTGCTGTAACAGGCCACAGCCCGGATAACTAGAAAAGCGCTGCTTGAGGTGCTGCTACCATGTCGGCAGGCAAAACCCGTCTAGGCTTCCTGCGGCGTTCATGTTGGAAGGACCTTCAAGTTGAAGTCTCGAGGGGCTCTCGGAGTCTCACCGACCACAGCCTGGATCCCCAGCACCCCAAAGTCCCCAAAGTCCCCAAAGTCCCGAAAGTCCCGAAAGTCCCGAAAGTCCCGAAAGTCCCGAAACCCCGTACACCGTCAACAGGACCCGATTGACCTCCGCCAAATCCAAGGCGCGGCCGGCCACAGGGCAGCCCCTGGGCCACAAACTCTCGAGTTTCTCTTCGTTTTTGGAAATGTGGGGCTCTGTTGCCCGGCTCATCAACGGAAGATCACCCTAGTCATCACAACCAGCCCGCATGGGGAGGTTCAGGGCTTATTGTTGTTCGCCCGTTTCCGCTTAAGTTTACGGTTCAGGGCTTGAGGTTTACAGACTCCTCCAGGCCCAACATGAAGTTCACTGAGTGCACCTCGTATCAAGCAATCCACAGATCAATCCGGCCATCCACGCATTCGAAGGAAACGGAGTTGCAGAATTATGATTTGACGGTGTTTTTCGCTCCGGAGGCAACATGAGCTCGGAAAATGAGAACTACACCCTCGGGCCGAGATCAGTTTTGCTTTTGAGAAGCCCTTACTGCGAACCTGCAGAGGAATCTGGTGAGAGCACAAACTGCAGCGGTGGCCTCATGCAAGCCCCAGAGGTCCCCAGGTTCGGGGCTTGCAAATTTGCATGAGCCCAACACCCCGGACTGTCTCAAACTAGTTTGGGGCGTGCGCCGGTCACTGTCGATGTACTCCGACAGCAACTCCTCCGCGCGTGGAGCAAGCCACACACAGGCCTGGCAGTCGACTTGGAACAGCAACGGGATCAGGGACAAGCTGAGCAACCTCATAGCAGCCACGAGGTAACCTTCTCAGCATGAGGGTTACTATACGTCTGTATGCTTACTATTTTGTTACTCTAAGGCTCCTATGAGGTAGATTGCACTCACCTTAGAAGCCCTGACTAAACTAAACTCTACACAAGAACGGTAATCCCAAAAACCTAATCCCGAAACCCTATACCCTAAACCCCACGCCGGAAACCCAAAACCCTAAGTCAGGGCCTCACAGCGCCAGGCTGCCGTGCGCGTCAGCGCGGCAAAGAGCCAGGCCTGCCAAGGTTGGCGACGAACTTAGGGCTTGTGAGGGGTTTACGACCGCTACGTTTCTGATGTTGTGATTACTGTAAGTCTTCTGAATTCTATGAAAACCCTGATTACTAGATTACCACATGTTCATGAAATCCCCGATGATCCTGACTCTTTTCATTCTCTTCGGAAGGTATGACTGCTAGAACCGAACCCGTACGATCGAACGAACAGTGGACTTGCTCTACCGGTGATCACACGACGAAGAGCGCATTATGACTTCCATGGACGCTACATCACTTATGTGCATATAACGGTGATGATGATGATGATGATGATGATGATGATGATGATGACGATGACGATGACGATGACGATGACGATGATGATGGTGATGGTGATGATGATGCTGATGCTGATGATGCGGATGGTGATGATAATGACTTTTACCATGGCAGCAGTGTTTGCAATACTAGTGACAGTCGTGCTGGTGATGACGATGATGATGATAATGATGATGTTGATGTGACGATGCGATGATGATCAACAGTGCGTGCTATAGTACTATGCAATTGCTTTCATTGCCTTACTGTCAGGACTTTGCTTGACCAGGACCTCCAACTAAACAGCCGTGAAGTCCCAGGCACGATGCAAACAAAAAGACACAGTCATCATCAAATAAGGACATGGCTGCAGCTTCATGACACGATTCCCTGGGCCGTGAACTGAACTTATGCCTGACTGTGCTGACGGCCATGCATGCTGGTCAAATAGCACCTGCAGTGTGTCGAGGAAATGCCCCTTCGAATATGTGAGCATTTTTCATTTCATAATTCTGACGCAAGGCGCGGAACAGTCCAAGATTCCCCTGTCTGAGCTCGGAAACCCCGCAAAAAGCTCAGAAAGCTCAAATTTCCGCTCTTGGGCCCCCCGCCACGACCATGGTCAGCGCTGAGGCCCTCTCCGTCAGCAGCGCCGCTGCAGAGGCCTCTCGAATCGTTCTCAGGGGCCCCACGCTACTATCCCGAAACCCTAAACCCTGAATTGTGGTGTTGCTAGTGGCTATTATGACTATTATGTATCATCACTGGAGACGGGGCAGTGGGCTATAAGATGTGGCGGGCTGAGGGTTCGCAATGATCGTTGGCGCGCTATGGGTGCTCTTGGATCTTGAGAAGCACGCCCCTCGAAGAGACTATTCCAAAAGAACCCCGAACAATGGGAAGCTCTCTCACTCTTGAAGCGCACCAGAAATTGAGCATGCAAAGGATTTCCAGGGTGTGTCCTTTGGAGGTTTCGGGCGCGGAACCTCGTGGCCCTCGCAAGCCGCGCTTTTGAGTTCCGGGTGGCGAACGACCTGCATGCACAAGAAGGGGAAGGTTTCGGCCTTGACGATTTCGTGCACAAAGGCTTTGCTCCAAAACTCTCGATAGCTGGTGGCTGCTGCATACTCTCAAGAACCTGTACGGATGAAGATTGAAGAAGCTCCCACCGGGCCTCCAAACACCCTGTTCAGAAGCACCACCCCCGAATCCTTAAATACCTCCACACCACGCAGCTCCTGCAGGCCAAGCTTAAGCGCTTCTCTCCAAGGCTCCTTTGCCAGCCCTTCACCCACCCGACAGAACCTGCCGGACCGTTTCATGTTAGTTTTATATACAAAATTTGTGTGTATATATATATATATATATCGATGTAGATATAGCTGCTTTTGTATGACCCGAACTCTGGAACTAGAGTGCCCAAAAGCAACCCAAGCACAACTGACCCCTACACCCTACCAGACTAAACCCTACTTTACCCTTAAACCCTCATCCAAAACAGGACCTCGAACTAGATCCCTAAAACCTAAACCCTAAACCCAAAGCCCCAAAACCCCAAACCCTAAACCCTGAACCCAAAGCCCCAAAACCCCAAAACCCCAAACCCTAAACCCTCAAAGCAGGGCCTCGAACCAGATCAGGAGCCCCAGCGCCAAGCAGTGCAGCGCCCCAAGGCGCATGCGCTCCAAGCTCTGCTGCGATGCCGAGGCCTTAGGGTTTAGGGTTTAGGGTTTAGGGTTTCAGGTTGAGCAGGTCCGGATCGAGCAGTTTCTAGTCGGGCTCAACTCCGGGAATCATCCATGAAGGCTGAAATCCTAAACCGTAAACCCTGAACCCCAAAACCCTGGTCCTAAACCCTCAGCCCCTGAGCCCAAAGCCCCAAAGCATTACCCAAAGCCTAAGCCCGAAACTAAGCCCCAAGCCTAAGCCCTTAACCTTAAACCCCAAGCCCAAACCCAAGGCTCTGAACCCTGAGCCCCAAACCGTCCCAATTGCCATATCCCAACGAAGGCTGGTCGACCAGCCCTTCGTGGGAACATGGCGATTTCTTTGGCGAGTAGAAACCGCCACATTCCCACGAAGACGGCCCTGCGTG